GCACACTGTAAGATGGCTTCTGCTTTCTGTTGATCTGCTGGATCCTTCGGGATCTGGGGGACCAGCTTGTGGTTCTTCCGTTTGAGTTCTTCTTTCATCGGATTGGTGTAGCTTCCACCATTAGATTAAACATAATTACACTAAAAAGGAAATTCTTGTCAGATACAATGTAAATAAAAGCAGTGGGAAATGAAAGTGAGAGCAGACACTTGTACACACACCACACACATACACGCACGTGCATATACACTCAGCGCATACAGTATATAGTAGGATTGATTCTATGACAGCATCAACATCCAAGTGTTCTTTTATTCTAGATGGGCGACCTTGCGAATTTAAGGTGCAATTAAATTCACGAACTCTTGTGTATCACGTCGAGACGAAGGAAGCCGTTCTGTTCAACCAATATTTCGCCGGTAAAGTCCGTATATTCAGACAGCTGGCAGTCGTCAGATTTTTTGTTAGACTGCGAAGAGATCATTTTACAGAAGGGTCTCACTTGCTCATTCGCTGTGTGAACGTCGGAAGTGATCGACTTAAAGGCAATGCAGAGCTAGTTTGTCGTGATGGTGCATGGTCCCATCCTGCTCCCTATTGCATTCCACTTGATCCTCTCAACAGAAACAGTAAGGAGTTTCATATACTGATGGAAAGTCAGTTTGGTCTTGTGCTTTGGTCAGTAATTATTTGCAGAGGATTCCCCGCCGATTTTGGTCGACGTAGTGAATGGTGCGCACGCGTATTCTCCAACTGGCGAGCTAATAGTAGCTCGCAGCGCTACCGTAACGTTTTCGTGCTTGTCGCCGAAAAAAAGTGCCAAATCAAAATGGGTGGGTGATAAATGCTCACTTTGTAGTTTTGCAAAAGGCCTATTAAGTGAGTGAGGAGTTATACCGCACTGTGTCTTGAATCTCTGCCAGTTTAGGAATTCTCTTCTACCTACCGAAGCTATCCTCAGCAATGGGCGAGCATTGAAGCTCTTGGAGAAGAGAAGGTAGACGCCAATCAAGTGAGTGTCGCGCTTTTTGGATGGACTCAAATGAATATTTTTCAGGAGTACCCACCAATTATTAAAATTAAGTTGAATTGATTATATATGCCTTCTTCTGGTATTGCTCTTTTTTGGGAAAAGCACCGATCTCTTAAGAATGTGTCACTTCTTCTTTTGTTTTTTGGCCATCAAATTGTTTATTCTTCGGCGATGATACAGGTTGAGTTTTCCCAAGCCTGGCATCGCTCAAGTTAGGGCAGTGGTTCTTATGTTGGAGATGAATGTTGTATGTTGCAAACAACTACTAATTTTTCGTCTGATATGATTGATATTCATTATTTAGATTTTGTTTTTATTTTCAGCATTATATGTGTGTAAGCAATTTTGGATATGCCTCCTTTCCTGAATTTTGCTTTGCAGTTTTCGTCCCAAAGTGACTTCTCATCCTTCTCCACTTCCACTCCCCTTTTGCGCTTGTTTTTTTTTCATACTGTTTGCTGAACTTTGACTGTAATTACAACCCCCTTTTTTGCTACAGATATAGCAAACGCCACTCGATAGAAAATCCAAAGCCGGTGGAAGTAGAGGGCACAGTGACCTAAAAGTTACTGGAAGCAATACACTCGTCCAACCCTGCTATTATCCTACCAGTTGGGCTATGCACGCTAACGCGTGCAATATATGTCGACGGCCCCTTATCCACGATGGAGTCATTCAGCGGAATGTTGGATAATCAGAATAAGATAGTTCTCTATAGATGCGAACGTTGAACTGCTGAGAGCATCACGCTCGATATATTTCATTCGAGCAGAATTGTTGTAGTTGATTGTGGTTCCGTCCACCTCAGTGCAAACCCTTCCCACAACAAGCTTGACCATCCTTCTTCCGACTGCTCTTGACCATAATTCAAGAAAATTTTTGAGGAGATGAATTTTTAATTAGTGCCAACCCCGCCCGCTTTGAGGATTTGACCACACTTGTTCCGTTACTTTTCACCACTTTTTTCCCCGCGTTCTAGAATGTTTCTGAACAGAGTTATAAAATTTTGATTCAAGTTTCGCCCACTTTAGCGCCAACCCCGCCCACTTCAAGGATATGATCACACTTGTTTCATTACCTTTCACCACTTTTTTCGCGTTCTAGAACGTTTCCGAACGAAGTTACATTCATTTTTGGAATGTAGCTTTCATCTAACGCACGCCCCTCTCACCGTGGGCGGGGCTTCGCTAAGCTTACTC